GTTCAGCATTTAGACAGACATTAGAATATCTCTTTGCAGACAATCACCATATGTGATATTTCTTTCATGCCATTGTTTCTTCTCGACGTATGAATCATTGTGAGGAATTAAGGGCTAAGGTTGACGCATAACGACGCAAGGCAGGATACTATTTTTTGGCGATGAACGCAGTGAATGCAGAAATTATGAATGAAAGGTTGGTCCCGTTAGGCACACCAGTTCAATAGAAGTCCCTCATCGTTTGGAAGACACACGTGACAGAGTGTAGAACAGGAGGTCAGTGCCCAACAGGGATGAATAAGGTGGGGGAAGATCTGCGTTTTGGAAGGAAACGTGCCTTGTAGCAATGCGTTGCAGAAGGGCAAATACCGTCTAACGAACATCGCAAATCGAAGGCGTCCTTCTTTGCAAAACAGCTCAACGTGACTATCACATGAAACCTAAAACAATCATCAGGTCTTTAAATGACCACAAACGGAGAGAGCGAGTTCTGCAAAGGAGAGGGACGTTCCAAATTTACGATGAGTTTCCATCGATCATGCGAATGAATGAGTCGCCATAAACAAGGCAGACTACGAGGTCTACCCATTAAAGAGTTTTTGACCGATTAGAATTTCATTTTTTAGTTCAGTGGTGCAGCAGAATCTCATCGACAATAATTAGTATGTTCCGTAGAACGATTTGTACTTTCACATGATCTTTGATCAAACTCTCGAAATTTGATTGATCATCGTGTTTTTACCATTACCCTTCGATTATTAGCGATGCTTGAATAACGATCGGTGTTTTTCAGGTTCGTTCGATCGTCTCTTTATGAATTTCATGTGGCGTTTATGAAAATTTTCAAAGCAACCAATATAGGGATGTCGATCGCACTTGTAATAATGATGAAAAGTCTCAGTGGAGAAGGATTCTGAACATCACTTAGCCGTTGGCTTGATCAATCTCTGCGACGGCCTGCGGTGAGTTCACACTGAACGAAATAATCAAGATTTCATTGGAGGGGGGGTGATTTTCTATGACCCTTCAATTATTATAACCAGACGAGCCAGACTTGAGCTGAAATAAACTAGCTCATGTAAAGCCGGCAAGTATGCGATTGCATAACTTCCAAAATTTTCAATTTCTGTTGATGAGATCATGTAATTCAGCAGATGCCTGTTTTAATAAATATGAAAGAGTAACTAGATTTGAATTCGCTCGTTAAAATAGAAGAGTAAATAAGTAATACGGTTGGTCTATTGCACAGGAATGAATAGATATATATATTACGCAGATTGAACATTTGTTATTGTTGAGCCTTGAAATCCGGATTATGAAGCCTGCCAGATTTGTGGAGGACCGGAACCTTGGAGGTTGGGGAATTCTTCTCAGGCCACTTTCTCAGCAGCCTCTGAAAATGAACAAATGGCGCGAATGGCAAAATTATTCTATTTATGAAGTATTCTTATGTCATCTTGAAAGATATGTAATTGGTTGCTCATGGCTCTCTTGAAACATAGATTAAGAAAAGATTTCATCTCTGGTTTAAGCATCTGTATGAACTGAACAACGTGCTGTAATCCCAGAAGTGTTCAGTTTTTACG